TCATCACTTATATCGATGATGCTGCATGGCTGTCACTTGCCATTCCAAATAAAGCAACTCCCCCACCCCCACCACAGCAGTTTGCTTGTCCTCATGTTCTCTTTTTGTTTGTTTTGAGACAGAGTCTCATTATGTTGCCCTCAGTATAATGCTGTGGTGTCATAGCTCACAGCAACCTCCAACTCTTGGGCTTAAGCGATTCTCTTGCCTTAGCCTCCCAGTAGCTGGGGCTACAGGTGCCCACCACAAACCCCAGCTATTTTTTGGTTGCAGTTGTCATTATTGTTTGGCAAGCCCAGGCTGGGTTTGAACCTGCCAGCTCTGGTGTATGAAGCTGGCGCCCTACCCACTGAGCTATAGATGCTGTGCTATTGTCCTCATGTTCTGTCTTGGCCCCAGCAGAACCTTCGTAGTGACTGAGTTGGAGGAGTGAGGAGAATGGAACATCCTCAGCAAGAACACTACAGATTCCCACTGTTCCTACCGGAGTTTGGCAGTTTTTCAGACATAGACATGTCTCAGATTGGAATGTGCTCCCAGTTTCCAGAACACCAAAATTACTGTTTTGTCCATTTATTTCAGCATTATAATTCCCTTTGTGAGGAGAGGTTTTGCTGACTTTCATGCTTGACTCCAGCTGGAAGTGCTGCCCAAAGCATCTGAGACTTTAATTATGATCTGCGTAACTGCATTGGAGAAATTAGACCTTAGAAGGGAAGATAGATGCCTTAATTGGAAAAGGATTTCACTCCTGTCCAAACTATCCAAATAGTCCCCTTGCCAACTGGTGATCCAATTGTTTAAAATGGTTAAGAGTGATACCGGGAACTGGCCAGGGACCAGGCACATGCTGTGTGTCCCTCCCGCCCTCTGCTGGTAGTACTGTATTTTTTTCATGTTCTACTTTTCATAAGCTACCACTTAATGACACTAAACTTTCTTTAGTATTCCTAGATTAGACTGTCATTGGTCACCAAATGGTCACAAGAGTTCAGCCCCCACAGTATGACATTGTAGTCTTTATAGCATTGCTTGTGCAAGTATCTTAATATTATGTCTTACTTTATAAAATTTTATTTCTTTCTAAGGTCTTCAGGGATTTTATAAGATCCCATAATTATGCTCACATGCTGTCACGCTCTGTGTGTCTCATAATTACAGAGGTCTTTTCTCAAGCATAGTTCTCGTGTGTGTGTGTCACAAAAAGGATAGATTGGTTGCTGCCCCCCAAAATGAAATGTTCTAAATTTTCCCCTTCCTCAGATTTATGGTTTGACAAATTTAGCCTTTGTGCTTTCTTTTATAAACATAATTAAAAGAGCAGTAATTTATTTCAGCTGCTCCTTAGGTGACTCTCCTTACTTGGGCTACTGTGGACTCGGCTTATGATAAAAACAACTCTCTTTTTTGCAGTTTTTGGCCAGGGCTAGGTTTGAACTCACTACCTCTGGCATATGGGGCCAGTGCCCTACTCCTTTGAGCCACAGGTGCTGCCCATAAAAACAACTCTCTTTTAGAACAGAGGAAAAGAAGATATTTGGCTATTAAAAGTATTCTCAAAACTAGAGTCTATTACACTGAGAATGAATTGGTAATTGTTATGTTTCCTTGTTGTTTGGACCTGCTGAACCAACAGCTGAAATCACCCCAAAAGCAGTGTCAGGAGAGTTCCCATAAGGACCATATTCGCTGGTTGAGATTCTAGAGAAAGAAGCACTAACTTGAGGGTGATCAGTCCAAAGCACTTAATAGGGGAACTTACAGAGTGCTGTGGCATCCTTGTGATGGGCAGCAAGAAAAAAGGTGTGTTTGGCTTAGTGCTTATAGCTCAGCAGCTAGGGTGCCAGCCACATACACCTGAGCTGGCGGGTTCAATACTGAGCCTGCCAAAACAATGACAGCTACAACTAAAAAATAGCCAGGCATTGTAGCAGGTGCCTGTAGTCCTAGCTACTTGGGAGGCTGAGACACGGGAATCACTTAAGCCCCAAGAGTTGGAGGTTGCTGTGAGCTGTGACGCCATGGCATTCTACCCAGGGGAACAGCTTGAGACTCTGTCTCCAAAAAAAAAAGAAAAGAATAAAGGTGTGTTCTACGCAGGAATGTTTGCAGCAAGGGGGTCAGAGTGTGGAGTTTATATGAGAGTTTAAGGAATTTGGCTCAGGGCTGGGGACAGTTTATTGTGGTGCTTTGGGCAACAACCTACATTACCTTTAATCAGCACCTGGCAATGTTCAGGCCCCAGCTTGGGTTCCAGCCTGTTGGGAAAAGCTTACAGTTGGCTGGGTTACAGAGTGGTCAAGACTTCTGTGATTTTCAGTCATAAAGTAGAGAGGAACCAGGGGCCATACACTGGTGAATAAGAAAATATTATTTCTTTCTTCTTTTTCCTCTGGGGTTTCTTTTTTTTTTTTGAGACAGAGCCTCAAGCTGTCCCCCTGGGTAGAGTGCTGTGGCATTACAGCTCACAGCAACCTCCAACTCCTGGGCTCAAGCGAGTCTCCTGCCTCCGCCTCCCAAGTAGCTGGGACCACAGGCGCCCGCCACAACGCCCGGCTATTTTTTGGTTGCAGCCGTCATTGTTGTTTGGCGGGTCCGGGCTGGGGATTCGAACCTGCCACCTTAGGTGTACGTGGCTGGCGCCTTAGCCGGTTGAGCTATAGGCGCCGAGCCTCCTCTGGGGTTTCTTAAATGATTGCTGGCACCTGGAAGATGATAACCCTGCATTGAACAATTAAACTGGTAGATGAGTTGCAGTCAGCTTAGCAATTCATCTCTGAGGCCTCTTGGCTAATGTAACATAGGTAACTTTGGAATGGAGAGACCTGCAGACAGCATCTTACTCACCAGGGAGGAGACAGCTGAGAATGTACCACCTGATGGGCAGCCCAGCGAAGAGCACACCCTTATACATTACCTCTTTTTTTGGGAAGAGGGCACTGGTCTGTTGCCTGGGCTAGAGTGCAGTGGTATCATCACAGTTCACTGCAACCTCAAACTCTTGGGCTCAAGCAGTCCTCCTGCCTCAGCCTCCCAAAGTGCTAGGATCATAAGTGTGAGCCACTGCACCAAGCCTTAAATTACCTCTTGACTCACTTAAAAGACCCAGCAGAGGACTGTGTCCACAATAGGGACTCAGTAAATTTACAAATAAACAAAATCTTTGGTTTAGTATTGGTGGCAAAGAAAGAGGCAGTACAGAAAGCTCAATAGGCTGCCGGTTAGGTAGCTCACATCTAGGAAAATTTCCTCTAGGGAACCTGTTGGAGAGCAAGTAGAATCCAGAACAGAGCATGCACTTAGTCCACTTCCCAAAGGTACATGCGTGGTAGACTTAAAGATGTATAAAGGAACTGGAGTCTTCTGAAGAGGCAGATTTGGGTTTTATTTCATGTCTGAAGCATATACTAGTATGAAATATATTTCTTTAAAAATCATCAACCCAAATGCGTCACTGATGATTTGATTTTCCAGGAAAAGAAGAGCCTTAGCCTGGTCCGCACAACATGACCTCTGCTCAGTCTCCTTGCACTAACATAGCTCCTGACCTGTGTCCTCCCACGCCTGCCTTCTTATGCCTTGGCTGGGCTTTCTCAGAAAGGCAGAGAATTTCAATGTCAGATTCCTTTTGGATGCTTTGATTTTCACTTTGTCATACTAGCTCTAAGACTAAAAGACAGTTCAACTCTGCCTAATGCTTCCTATAACAGTGAATATGAGATGCAAGACTGGGTCTAATAGAGCAAGGCTCAGACTCTGCTTGGCACACCCTCACCCCCTCATGACCCTGGGAATACTCTAGCTGACTGAGGTAGAGGCAAAGAAGGGGATTTGAATATTCATGACCTGGACTCAAGTCTTGGCTAAAAAAAAAAAAATTTTTTTTTTTTTTTTTTTAAGATAGAGTTTCACTATGTCACCCTTGGTAGAGTGCTACAGCGTCCCAGCTCACAGCAACCTCAAATTCTCGGGCTCAAGCGATTCTCTTGCCTCAGCCTCCCAAGTACCTAGGACTACAGGCGCCCGCCACAATACCCAGCTATTTTTTGTTGCAGTTGTCATTGTTGGTTAGCTGGCCCAGGTGGGGTTCAAACCCTCCAATGTTGGTGTATATGGCTAGCACTATAACCACTGTGCTACGGGTGCTGAGCCTAAAAACATTTTTTTTTTTTTTAAAGTCTCACTCTATTGCCCAGACGACTGTCAGCAACCCAGCTAGCTCATAGTAACCTCAAACTCCTGGGTTCAAGTGATCCTCCTGCCTCAGCTTCCTGAGTAGCTGGGACTACAGGTGCCTGCCATGATGCTTAGCTAAATTTTCTATTTTTAGTGGAGACGGGGTCTCACTCTTGCTCCACTGGTGTCAAACTCCTGAGATCAAGGGATCCCCCCTCGGCCTCTCAGAGTGCTAGCTTGTACCAGGTGTGAGCCACTGCATCTGGCCTGGCTGAAGTTTTTATTTATTACCCTGTGGTGGGTCCTTTAATCTCTTTAGGCCTTAGCTTCCTCATTTATCAATCACGTAGTACCTTAGAGGCAGGGAGGTCTGTCTACAGTGCTCACCAAACCACTGAAAACTCTATAGCACTACACAAGAGTATGGTGGTTTGAAAGAGAGGAGAATAAAACAAAAAAGGGGCGGCACCTGTGGTTCAAAGGGGTAGGGCGCTGGCCCCATATGCCGGAGGTGGCGGGTTCCAACCCAGCCCTGGCCAAAAACTGCAAAAAAAAAAAACCCAGAAAAGGAATGAGAGTAGTATCAAAGAAAGGAAGGGGAAATTTGAAAAAGGCAGAGTGGAGAGATGGAGAGATGGAGCTACCAGTAGCATGAAAGTCCCCGGCACTATTGTTGGGCTAGGGTCAGAGCTTAGTTGATGATGTTGGTGGTTGGGTTCATGTGCCCTCTGAACTGAACAGAGAACAGAGCTAGACATTAGACAGCCTGCAGACATTGCATGGAGCCAGTCACTGGGAAAGGAAATCAATGTTCAGACTGATTATCATGACAACTACCATTTGCATGATTCTAATCTATAGGATCACTTGCAAAGCTTCTAAATCTTCACTTCATCTCTGGACAAGAGACAGGCTATGAGCCCAGCCCTGGGGCAGATCGTATCTTCACACCTCAAGCCACCAAAAACTTGAACCAGGTGGTGTGGCTGTACTCTTCACCAGGCCTCAGGAGCACACCAGGGAAATGGGGCTGTGAAGGAGAAAACAACACAGGTTACACCCTGCCGGCCCAGGCTGCACCATCTCCCATTCCAGGTGTGCTTCTGGACTGGTGTCTAGGCTGGTGCCATGTTTAATATTGGTTTGCAGTGAGATAAAGAACTTGAACTATAATGAAAAGCTATATCACCAAGCACACATCAAAGTAAGATGTGCTTAGGCCAGGCATAGTGGCTTACACCTATAATCCTAGCACTCTGGGAGGCTGAGGGTGGATTGCCTGAGCTCATGACTTTGAGACCAGACTGAACAAGAGCAAGACCCTGTCTCTAAAAATAGCCAGGCATTGTGATGGGCCCCTATAGTCCCAGCTACTTGGGAAGCTGAAGCAAGAGAATTGCTTAAGCCCAAGAGTGGAAGGTTGCTGTGAGCGATGACACCATGGCACTCTACCAAGGGCAACAAAGAGAGACTGTTCCAAAAAAAAAAAAAGGGCTTGATGAGGTAAGTAGCATTTTTTGTTGTTGTTGTTTTTCTTTTTGAGAAAGTTATGCTATCTTCTTTTTTAAAATTTTGAGACAGTGTCACTCTATAGCCCTGGGTAGAGTGCCACGGCATCATAGCTCACAACAACCTCAAACTCCTGGGTGTGACCCATCCTCTTACCTCAGCTTCCCAAGTAGCTGGGACTTCAGGCCCTTGCCACAATGCCCAGCTAATTTTTCTATTTTTAGTAGAGATGGGGTTTCATTCTTGCTCAGGCTGGTCTCGAACTCCTGAGCTCAGGCAGCCCACCTGCTTCAGCCTTCCATAGTTCCAGGATTATGTGCCTGGCAACATGTTCATTTACATTCTGGTGCAAGGTGTGAGCTCACCATGGGCTGGTAGCTGGCACTTTTCGGGACGTTGTTCTAGGTAATAGCTAGAAAAGAAAGTTATAAAAGAAAATAGGAAGAAAAAATATGGAGGATCAGCTTAAAAGTGTGGGTGCAAAAAATGAGAAGGTTTTGATAAGGAGAAACATTAAAGGCTTTATAGGCACACATTTGAGCTTTTTCCTAAAAAAAAGCTAACTGGCATGTAAATGTCACGCCAGTAACCTGACCATGGGTTTTCTGTGTTTATCATGACTTGGAGAAGAGAACAAACATGGACTTTTGAATCATATGTGACTTGCGTGTCATGACCTCCATCATACAGAATGACCTTGACAACACCAGTCTGACAAGTCAGCCTGTGGCTTTACCTGATTGACTGCATCAGGCCAGTTCTGAGTCTCCAGGCAGAACCCTGAGTGCTTGGGATAGGTGGCTCCACCCTTGCCCTTCAGTGTGCCATCCAGGAAGTTGCCCGTGTAAAACTGGACCCCGGGCTGGGTGGTGTACACTTCTAGCACTCGCCCGCTTCCAGCATGATACACTCTGGGGACAAAGACAAACCACATGTGAGTCCAGGCAGAAAAGCTGGGAGGAAATATTTTGCCTCTTTTTTTTTTTTTTGAGATAGAGTCTCAAGCTATTGCCCTTCGTAGAGTGCCGTGGTGTCACAACTCATAGCAACCTCAAACTCTTGGGCTTAAGCGATTCTCTTGCCTCAGCCTCCTGAGTAGCTGGGATTACAGGTGCCTACCACAACGCCGAGATATTTTTCTGTTGCAGTTGTCATTGTTGTTTAGCAGGCCTCCGGGCTGGGCTCGAACCCGCCAGCCTTGGTGTATGTGGCTGGTGCCCTAGTCACTGAGCTATAGGCACCGAGTCTTACCTTATTTTTTGGAGACTCACTCTATTGTCTAGGCTAGAGTGCCATGGCCTCAGCCTACCTCATAGCAACTCAAACTTCTGGGTTTAAGTAATCCTCCTACTTCAGCCTCCTGAGTAGATGGGATTATAGGTACCTGCCACAATGCCCAGCTGATTTTTCTAAATTTTTCTATTTTTAGTAGAGATGGGGTCTCACTTTGCTCAGGTTGGTCTCCGACTCCTGAGCTCAAGCCAATCTCCCACCTCAGCCTTCTTGAGTGCCAGGATGACAGGCCGAGCCACCATGCCTGGCCTGGGAGGAAGCTTTGAGGTGAGAACCAGACCACTGAGCAGGGACAAGATGTAAGGAGCAGAAGATGAGAGACCATGATGGAAAATCTCTGCTGGATCTTTCCGTCTCACTGAGAGGCAACACATGCACAAAATATTAAAACATCCTTACCGTGCAATCAACTGCAAGGTTCAGGGAAAAAGGCTTGGGAGGAGGAAGGCCAGAATTTGGTTAAGTGGGAGAAGGCAGGAGGGCTTCCTCAGGTGGAGGCAGCAGGGAGAGGAACAGCACTGGAGCCTTGGTGCTGGGGTTCCAAGGCAGAGAAGGGTTTGGGAATTCTACTTGAAGTCTCTATTAGGGGCTGAACCATTTTCTCTGCTTAATTTAAAATCCACTCATTCTGTTTTAGGCCGGGCGCGGTGGCTCATGCCTGTAATCCTAGCCCTCTGGGAGGCCAAGGTGGGTGGATTGCTTGAGCTCATGGGTTTGAGACCAGCCTTAGCAAAAATTGAGACCCTGTCTCTACTAAAAGTAGAAAAACTGAGGCAAGAGGATCTCTTGAGCCCAAGAGTTGGAGGTTGCTGTGAGCTATGACAACATGGCACTCTGTCTAGGGCAACAGCTTGAGACACTGTTTCAAAAAAAAAAATTAATTCAGGGTGGTGCCTGTGACTCAAAGGAGTAGGGTACTGGCCTCATATGCCAGAGGTGGCGGGTTCAAACCCAGCCCAGGCCAAAAAAAAAAAAAAAAATCAATTCATTCTACAGCCATTTATTGAGCATTTGCTAGTGCCTAGCATGACATTAGGTGTCCAGGTAGAGGCAGAGAAATTGGCAATTCAGTGAGAAAGAGAGAGCATGCACACATGTCTATCAAACAAGGTTGAAGGTGCTGAGTGCTGCAGGAAAAGCTCAGCCTCCAGCTTGCCATGGGAGCAGCAGGACATAAATCACAAATTGAGAAAGGTACAAAGGGCCCTGGAAGCACAATGAAGGCAGAGGTGACGTCCTTCCTCCAGAAAAGTTAGGGCTAATAAAGGAAATGGGCCTTAAAGAACAGGCAAAGGTCATACGTTATGACCTGCACCTGGAATCCCAGCATGGAAGGCTCGCTTGAGCCCAGGAGTTCAAGACCAGTTTTTGGCAACATAGCACAGAATGTGGTACTTGGTCTCTGTGCCTTAGTAAATGATATTAATTTGGCCAAAGGAAAAACTCTCTACAAACGCAGGAAGTGAAAAATACCAGACCTTGCACAAAAATGCTTTTCTTTAGATCTCTTCAGACAGAAATTGTGGTCAAAACCATTGAGGTGGAAGGCTTGCAGGTGTTTTCCAAGCTCCACTGGCTTTCTCAGGTCAAAGGCAGTTCCTTGCACTGGAGCAACTTCTCCTGGTGGGACGAGGCAGAAAACGAATGTGATAAAGACCCAAATCAAAGCTTTCTATATAGCATCCTAAAGATCCACTAGTTCAACCCTCCCAGGCTTCACTTTTGTTTGTAAAAGGGATTGGAGACTGGCTCCTAAGGAAGAGAAGGAATTGTTAGACTGCCTTCATTAGAAAATGCAAACATTTAGAGTCCTTCAAGTGTGAAAGTCATACCTAATTTCCACTAGGTGACCTCATCCTAATCACTCAATCCTTACTGACATTTCTTGCTTCAGTGTTGAAATATCCCCAAACTCATAACCAGGATTAGCAGCCTGCATGGCTAACCAGACACTAAGAGTCCTGAGATTAGTGATTCTTAAACAATTTGAGGCCATTGTTAGGTAAAGGAACATTGGCAACCACCAACTACTTCCTCCTATCAGCCTGTAGACAGACTCAAACTGCAGCAGGAGTTATTAGAACACTGGATCAAAGGCGTTAACTGGGACAGGCCAGGGCATCTTGGGATAGAGGATCATGCCACTACGTGCCAACTGAGATTGAATACTTGGAATGAAATCTTTGGGTCTCCAGGAGCGATTCCTGGAAGAATCAGAATCTAGCAAACACTGCTTCTTTCTTGTGTATAAGCTAAATCCCTCAGGCTTCAAGTGCAGTATATTTGGTCTCATCAAGGTGGGCTATCCTGGAGACTTACAACGCCCCGCTATTTTTTGGTTGCAGCCATCATTGTTGTTTGGCGGGCCCGGGCTGGATTCGAACCCGCCAGCTCAGGTGTACATGGCTAGTGCCTTAGCCACTTGAGCCCCGGCCCTGAGCCCTATCCTAGAGACTCTTTTTTTTTTTGAGACAGAGCCTCAAGCTATCCCCCTGGGTAGAGTGCCATGGCATCACGCCCACAGCAACCTCCAACTCCTGGGCTCAAGCGAGTCTCCTGCCTCAGCCTCCCAAGTAGCTGGGACTACAGGCGCCCACCACAACGCCTGGCCATTTTTTGGTTGCAGCCATCATTGTTGTTTGGCGGGCCCGGGCTGGGAATTCGAACTCGCCACCTTAGGTGTATGTGGCTGACGCCTTAGCCGCTTGAGCCACAGGCACCGAGCCTATCCTGGAGACTCTTGATGTGATAGGTGGGACATTGCAGTGTGGGGACCCTCAACTCTTAAAGGACAAAACATAAAAGCAACCTGGACAGAACTCCTGACTTAGTGGTCACCAAACAACCAATGCCTAGTTAAGAACAACCCTTCATAGTGAAACTCAAGGTGTCAGGACCAGAAGTTCTCAAAATTCATCTGGTCCAAACTGGTCATGTAAAAGAACAGGGAACTGGAGCACACATAACTTGATATTATTAAATAATAACATGATGTCAATATACTCAATTGTATAATTCTATTAGTATACTTATAAGACACACATGTTCATATTTTAAAATCTCTGAAATCATGTCATGATTTAACTGGCAGAGGTTTTTCTTTCTTCATGGTATGTAAAATAATGGCAAACTTTATAATTGGTGGCATCTTAGAGTTGGTGAAATACATAAAAATATTGTTTGGCACATCTTCTACTAAAACCACTAAACAAGTGATCAGGGCTTTGAGGGTGAAAATGAGGAATTAAGACGATTTTGTGAGTCATTCCAACTAGAGATTCAAGGAAGAGATAATTTCTCAAGACAGTCCTCTCCACACATTTGCCCAGAGGCTATGAGTTTTATATCCTTCTGGAAACAGAGCTACTTTGCTTTATCATCTTTTATTATCTTCCTAACTTTCTTTTTTTTTTTTTAAACTTTATTTATTTACTTATTTTTTGTTGTTGCAGTTTGGCTGGGGCTGGGTTTGAACTCACCACTCTCAGTATATGGGGCTGACACCCTACTCACTGAGCCACAGGCACCACCCCCCTAACTTTCAGTTCTGTTCTTCCCTGGATGCTAGGCCTAACCAGTTCAAAGAGGGGACAGAAATATTTTGGGTTTCGGTCAGTTAAGAAAGCCTAGACAAGCCTGGGTGCAGTGGCTCACGCCTGTAATCCTAGCACTCTGGGAGGCTGAGGCAGGTGGATCGCCTGAGCTCAGGAGTTTGAGACCAGCCTGAGCGAGAGCAAGACCCCGTCTCTAAAAAATAGCCGGGTGTTCTGGCAGGTACCTATAGTCCCAGTTACTCAGGAGGCCGAGACAAGAGAATTCACTTGAGCCCAAGAGTTTGAGGTTGCTGTGAGCTGTGACACCAGGGAGACAGGTTAAAAAAAAAACAAAAACCCAACAGTGTTCAGGCCACAGAGCAAGCCATTCCTTTAAGGCGCTGTCCCTTCCTCCGGCTAGAGTATGTTCTCAGAGTGTATCAGTGTCAGAGCAATGGGTGAGAGACCATTCACCCAGTCACTTTTTGGCTCTATCAATATTTATTAAACACCTACTGTGTGCAGGCACTTTGATAGCCAGCAATACCCTGTAGCTGACCGAGACACAGGAACTGCCTATGAGCTCCTTATAGTCTAACGGGGAAGCCACATGTAAGCAGTGCGTAACCACAGAGTGTGAAGACCACTCCAGTAGGGACAGCTGTAAGGAAAAAGAAAGACAGCCCAGTGACTGGGCTGGCCTAGGGGTGGCACACTAGGGAGATTTCATGGGTGAAATCACAGTGGCTGAGCTGAGGCTCACAGTGCAATCTTTTTTTTTTGAGACATAGTCTCACTCTGTTACCTGAGGCCAGAGTGCTGTGAAGTCACAGGTCACAGAAACCTCAAACTCCTGGGCTCAAGTGAGACCGAGCAGTTTAGATGACAAGTGCCTGCCACGACAACCGGCTAGTTTTTTCTATTTTAGTAGAGACGGGGTCTCATTCTTGCTCAGGTTGGTGTGAGCCCCCACGCATGGCTTGGTTCTGCTTTTGTGGGTTTCTAAATGCTAAGAGGAAGCACAAATCTATCTGAGCAAAAGGGGACATCATTTTATTAAACTCAGAGCTATTGTTGGGAAATGTAGTTTTTTTGCAATGTGAAGACTGGGGTCCTGAATTTACTAGAGCTTTAGGGTTAGGGGTGTCTGGGACAAAACACCCAAGAGAAACATTGAGGCCCAGGCCAGACCCTCTGGTGTCTGGGTGTCCACTGTTCAACCAGGGGAATTTGGGAAGCACAGAATGAAAAAATCCTTGCTCTTTCAACTAGCGTCAGCTTTAGGAAAAATTAAGTAACATTCTTTTTGAAAACGTCCTTATAAAACATCTATTATTTCCTTTGCCCTGGTTGTTGTTCTTGATTTTTTTTTTTTGTAAAGATAGAGTCTTCCTGTATCACCCTTGGTACACAGCTCACAGCAACCTCCAGCTCTTGGGCTTAGGTGATTCTCTTGCCTCAGCCTCCTGAGTAGATGGGACTACAGGTGCTCGCCACAATGCCCGGCTATTTTTTTGTTGCAGTTTGGCCAGGGCCGGGTTCGAACCCACCATCCTTGGTATATGGGGCTGGCGCCCTACTCACTGAGCCACAGGCACCACCCTTGTTCTTCTTTTTTAAAAAAATTGTTTTGGACAGGTAATATTTATTTCCATATGCAATCAAATTAACATGAAAAAGTACAGAATACTATATATGAAAGAATTTCCCTCATCTTGGTTCCCCACATGCCTTCCAAAGATACTACAAAGGTATCCAAGGATCAAAAGGTACACTCACCCACACACAAATTTAGCAGCCTGCACCTGCCTTGGTACTTTTTATTTTTAGAGACAGAGTCTCACTTTGTCACCCTCGGTAGAGTGCTATGCTGTCACAACTTACAGCAACCTCTAACTCCTGGGCTTAGGCAATTCTCTTGCCTCAGCCTCCTGAGTAGCTGGGACTATAGGCACCTGCCACAACACCCAGCTATTTTAGTTGTTGTTGCAGTTTGGCCAGGGGCCAGGTTCCAACCTGCCACCTTCAGTATATGGGCCCAGTGACCTAGCCACTGAGCCGCAGGCGCCGCCCATCCCACCTTAGTATTTTCTTTTTTTTTTTTTTTTTGAGACAGAGCCTCAAGCTATCACCCTGGGTAGAGTGCTATGACATCACAGCTCACAGCAACCTCAAACTCTTGGGCTAAAGCACTTCTCTTGCCTCAGCCTCCCAAGTAGCTGGGACTACAGGCGCCTGCCACAATGCCTGGCTATTTTTTGTTGCAGTTGTCTTTATTGTTTAGCTGGCCGGGGCTGGGTTCAAACCCACCACGCTCTGTGTATGTGGCTGTGTATGTGCCATAACCACTGTGCTACGGGCACTGAGCCCCAAATCTTATTTATTCTGAGTGTACATTTGTACCCAACTGGTTGGCTTTTGCTTTCTTATATTTTCAACCTTTCTGAGTCACTTGGTTTGTACACAGCATTCTATTAGGTTTTAGGTTGGGACTCGATCTTTGAGACTTTAATATGGGCATTTAATGACATTAATATAGCATGTATACATAGGTTGTAATTGTTCTTAGTTCTGTCATACTTTATCGTATGCTTTCTGTGTTTATGACATAGTTTTTGCATAAAATGTTTGTTTCTATGTAGTCTCTATTTGCTTGTATATGAATATATTTCTGATAATTTAGAAAGCTCACATTTCTGCTTTAGTGCTTACATGTCATTGTATTTAGCAAGTCAGTATCATATACTTAAACCTCTTTTTCTTAGACAAAATCTGCTCTGAGCTTCTTTCTCCCCTCTTCTTCCTCTTTGCTACCTGATTTTCGGACGCTTTGTCAACTGAAGGTAAGGCACCTTGGTTTCCCAGTAGATGGTGCTAGAGACACAACAGAAACAGGCTGCTTTACAACCGATCCTTCAAACACTGATCAGTTCTGGAGAATTAATGGTTGAATTTTTGGGGTCTCTAAAGCCTAGGCCAAATCCTGGCTGGTAATGACCCACCTAAGTGCTTTTGTCCTGTGAAGTTTGTGTGGATAAACCACCCCGCAGACAGACTTTTTAAGAGGCAACAATAATTCTTTATGAA